TATTTTGCACCCTCAAAACATTAACCTCAAGTTGAGACAACACACTAAAAAATTCCTCCTCTACCTCTTTACTTAAAGAAAAGGAAAAAAAAAATCTGGTTTTAGGACAGTCAGGGCTAATAAAACAAATCCCTGCAACAGACAAGAGTAAAAAATTATAATGTATAAGGCACATTTTTAATCTACAGACTTCTCTAACCAAGGCACAGGGGAGAAAAACCTTCCCTCTAATACTGCTTTCAGGAGATCACAAAACATTACTCAAGTACTGTATTTCCAAGATACACAAGAATGCTGGTTCCCTGCCTCTTGCTTCCTAAAACAATTATCTTCCTTGTCAGCTTTCAGAGAAATTAACATTTCTGCCCCATCTCCCAATCTGAGCCTGCTGTGTGCTGGACTGAAAATTAAGGTTAATTTTCTCAGCTGGAGTAATTTAATCCAAGCCTCCACACCAGAGTCTGATGCTTCCCTGCTTGGCTCAGCCAGCACAAATCTCTCCCCAGGATTTCGTGAGGTTTCACCCCAAGCCTGACACAGCTGACAGCGTTTGGAAAGCCCCAGGCTCCCTCTATCCTGTCCAGCTTCTGTACTGAAAAGGATGGCCTCTACTGAGACCCCTTTGTAGACCTGTAAACAAACAATCCCTTTCATAATTATTTGAATCATTTATTAAAAAAAAAAAAATCAAAAAAACACACACGCACAAAAAAGAAACAACAAGTGCAGCCTGTGATGGGATATACAGCCTCACTCTTCCTCTAGTTCCATTAATTTTTCTGTCCCAAGACAGCAACCAATTTGGCTGATGTCTAGATCGAGGGCACAAAAAGTTCTCAGTCTCTGCACTCTTACAAGTCACATCGGATCAGTCTCCCTTTTTTTCTGTTAATTTTACAATCCGTGCTCTAGCTGTCTGCTCTGCTGGAGGACATCCCTTCCCAGAAAAGCCACCTCACAGTCTGCAGAGCAGATGCAGAAATATTCCAAAGCTTTTCCAAGCTTTGTAAATTTGGACAATTTAATCAAAAAATGTTTTGTGCGATCACCAGTACACCTTAGAAAGCAGCAGCACCAGAGGCCCTTGCTCAAGGCACACAATTTTTTTTTTTTTCAAATTGGAACTTTTCCTATAAGACATGTTCTTTTGTGTTGATCAGATTTGACTGTGTTAGATTAGCAAACAACAGTAATTTGTTTAGTAATTATCTCCTAAATTTCACCTTAGCTTGTGTCAACATGGTACCATGCATAATTCAGTGAGTCTTTTGTACCTTGACATATCTTGGACAGCAGTCCTTACCATTCACACTATCTGATACTATGTTATATGAATAATATTCAAGGTGGGTTTTGCCACCTTTCCCTTTTTTCCATCTCATATTCAGAGAAAAAGGATGTGGGGAAGACTGAGATCCACGAGACATTGATTACAAAAAGCAGGAGATGAAGGCTATTGTTTCCTAACCCGGGAAAGGGACACAGCTCAAGTCAGGGAGACAACTAGAGGAAATATTCATTTTGGTGGAAAAATGAGTGATTTCAAGAACCATTTAATGCTATTTTACAACAGCTGTCTAAATTGGAATCTTGGTAATTTTGTGATGTTGGTTCAGAATTTATGCACGATTTTATGCATTCCCCACATCGGCAAGCACTACGTTACATTTCTGCCAAATGTAACAGCGAAGAAATCACAGCTGCATCCTACTAACCTTGAAGAATCAGATAATGGTTTTGAGTCCTTGAAAATCTGACCGTCAGCTCTGGGTGGTTCCACTCACTCAAGGACGTGTGCTGCTTTTTCATCTGGGGCTCCTGAGCTCTAACATAACCCCTGGAAAACATTCTGCACCTCCTGCTAAGCCCTAGGTGACAAGAGTTGGGGATTAAAATTTCCCATCCTCAAGTGGCAGCACTGCCCAGATAACGAGCACATCAGAAACAGTCACTGAGACAAAACAGCAAGCCACCCTGCAAGGCCCACAGCGCACCCACAAGCACATAGCACAAATATTTGCTAGGCTGCTTTGATGAAGCCAACATGCAGCATAGGAAACCACCTAAACTATCTCATCTGTACAGAAAATGGGTGGGTTTTGGTCAAGGCAGAGCACTGCAAGGCATCCACTGTTGCTGCACACCAGCAGCAGGGATTGCCTGCGTCAGAAAGGCACTGAGGTCACCCGTGTCAGGCACAGCATCACTATTCCTGCAGCAAGGCCACCACCTCACCTTGAGTGTTTTTACAACGTGGATTATCTTTCTAAGTGATGGTGTACCCTGTGCATCAGCCCATTGGTTGCATACACGTGAAATCTGCCACAAATAGCAGAAATTTTAAGGTGCAGGAATTCCCAGTGCAGCAGGAACGCTCCCCACCACACATCACCCTGTGCAGGAACGTTTTGTTACATGTATGCTTAAAATACCAGGCTAAAGCACCCCTGGCATGAAGAATGAGGTTCGTTCCTGTTCAGAACAGCTGCACACTCCAAGCCTTTCACAGCTATTGTGATCCATCCCACCACAGTGAGTAAATATCACGTGCGCTTCTGCTAGGTGACAGGCAGAGGCAGAGGAATAAAGAGAAAGAGAAGCCAAACCTAAATGCAGACGGGAGTTTGTTTTATGGTTGTTGTGGGGTTGGTTTTTTGGAGTTGTTTTTTTTCCTTTCAAAATGGTGTTAGCAAACAGAACACCACGCTCTAATTACCACTGTCAGCACAGGGAACACCACCTACCCACGACAGGCTTGCCTGCAAAATGCAAACCCCTCGTGTTCCACCGCCCCTTCGCTCCAGACTGAGAGCAGAGCAAATTTGTAGCAGTAGCAGAAATGCAAATAAGTTTATAAGCATTCATGCCCGTGTTTGAAGATCCTGGGAATAACAGATGTGGGCAACACGTAGAAGCCAAAGAAAAGAAAAGCAGTATCAGCTTTTTGCCAGCCACTCACACCCAGCATTTCTCAAAAAAAACCCCAACTGACTGCATTTATAGCTTATTTTCAAATGTTTTTTACACCTCACACACATGGATGTGTTAAGCACAAAAACTTATTTATATGGATGCACGTCATGTCAGTCACCCGCCTGTGACATTTTTAAAACCATTTCCTCCAATCCTCCTCCTGATAAGAGGTAAAACACGAAGAAGATAAAAAACCAAGGCTTCCACATGCAATTGTCATTGTTTTGTGGTAATTCTTCCTGCATGTGGGAACGGCCTGGAGGTTAAACCTTTTTTACCTTTCATTATAGACACAGATTCCTTGGTGCACTCTGCTCCACTGAGCAGTATGAAAACCTTTCACCACTAAAATATTTCTCAACGCCAGGAAACACAGCCACAACCATAAAACTGCTCTTAAGAGACCTAACAACAGCAACAAAAAAATCCAGTCTTCATCCTGAGCTTTTATTTAAATATCAGAATATTGCTCTGTAGATCGATGTAGTTGTTTAAATTGTGATTTAGTTTTTGGTTTTCACCCAGCCCATTCCTGCAGACAACGCCAAACCCAGCTGTCCCAGCTCCTCGGAGCTGCTTTTCCATGACAAGATATTAATTAGGAGGGAAAAAAAAATGTACAAGGGAAACTGGAACAACACCATCTGAAAGCTGATATTCCAGTCAATATCCCATGCCTATCACACAGTACCCCAGAAGACACTTCCAGGCTAGGAGCACCAATATTTTCAATTTTGCCACCAAGGGTCCCACAAAATCTTTAAATGGCACTTTTCCCACAACAGCAAATTTGTCACCTGAAATCATTTTAAGACAGCACATGATCAGCAAAAGTTCCATTTTGAATAGCTGAGACTGCTGGAAACCTCACTTGGAAATTAAACATTTAGGGTAAACAAAGAGCATTTTTGGCAAAAATCTCCAGTGGGTTTCAGGTGGGAGCCTGCCAGAAACTGTCAAGGTAGAAAAATTGTAATAAATCTATCATAAAAGGGTATGTTTGCAAACAAAACTGCACTAGAGGAAGCTAGTTGACCACCTGAAAGCAGGCTTGGCTATGGTGAGAACAAGGACTGACAGCTGGAGTCTGCCTGGACCTTACAGAATATTTTCAATTTGAGTTTCTAATTCATATTGAGCATCCAGAAGTGAGTCCAAGCAGGCAAAACAACCCAGTTTGTGCTTTCTACCTCTGGCATGCATAAAAAAAAGTTCAAAAGTATTACTGTCTTTAAAGTCTTCAATCTTGTTGACCATCAGAGGCTGAACCAGACAGTGATTATACTAACTGCTTATTTCTCTTACAAACATACTTTAATGTAGCATCATTCAAACACTTCAAAGTGTTTGAAGCTATCCTGGGTAATGAAGGCTATTTTTAGAATTGTCTTTATGCATTTAATGTTTGGTTTTTTTTTTAAATCCAAACCCTTGACACGTGATGGAAAGAAACCAATCTGGTGAATTTAAATTCGGTAACAGGAATAAGATGTATGAACATGTTGTGAGAAAATGAGCACACAGCAAGATGCTGACTACCTGTTAGACAGATGGATAAATCTGCAACTGAAAGAACCTTTATAGCCACTAAACAATCTAGAGAAGAATCAGAGCAAATCCAGAATCAACACAGTGCCTGAAGTCCAGAAAAAAGTCACACAAGTGAACCCACCTCAAACCCTAAACCTGCTCATGCTGGTAACATCCCAGTAAATTTTGGTAAATTTTGGTGATTATGACTCTGAAACCACGATTTCACAGAGATGTGGCAATTTACAGTGACCAAATCTACTACTGCTAAGGAAGCTGCTCTGCAGAAGACATAAACAGCATTTTAAGTGGGCTGTGTGCATCTCACTCTAATTAAACTCCTCTGCTTCAGCAAATCACTGCCTCAATTCCACGGGATAAATGCATTTCATACATGTACATCAACCCCCAGCCTGCCACAGCAGCTGCACAAGGCATGCCAAATGTTGCCACAAAATGTCATTTTAGACAGAAAAAAAGGATCTGTTTACCCTTACCAAAGGAAGTCTGGACACTCAGCAGAGGGCACAAATTTGGTGCTGAAACACAGAGAATGACAGAGACCCCAAAACCAAGCCACCACCTTGGGAAGGGGTGATGCTTTTAAAACCACGTTTACAAGGAGGAACAGGTTCCTCCCAACACTTCAGGTGCTTTGCTATGACAGCAACGCTCAGGCACCTAAACACAAAGTCATCACTGTGAAGTTCTTCTACACTGGTGACTTCTTCATTTTACTGAGCTCTCACAGCATCAAAGGTTATTCTGTAAAAAACAAACACACAAACGAAACAAAGCAAAAAAAACCCCCAACCTCCTGGAGGGAAAAAAAAAATGTTAGAAATTCTTGGAAAATTTCTGTATTTCCAATTCCAAGAATTCCAATTCCAAGATTTTCCAATTCTTGGAAATTTCTGTAGCCCCTGCAGCTACAGAAAAGATGTTGAAAAGCTCCAAAAGAAACAACGTAGCACAAAACCCAAAATACAAAAGACCAAGGGAACACAGCCTGGGTTCTCACTATACAACAACATAGAGCCCCAATTAAGAAACAGCCTCATTAAGGCATTCATTATGTTATTAAGGCGTTTTTTATTTTATTAAGGCTTCAGTAGCCATTGGCTCACACTTCAGGGACGCGAGGGCAAAGCAACAGCGCCGGGAGCCGAGTAACAATGAACCGAAAGAAAAACCATCTAAAAAACACACCAAAAGAACCAATTGTTGCGGGGGTTTTTGTATGCTTTTGTTTGTTTGTGGGGGCTTTTCTCGGTTTTGGCTTCTTTCCGATTTTTTGCTGTTGTTTTGGTTTTTTGGTTCTGTTTTTTGTTTTGTTTTTTTTTTTTACGTCTCACTAAAGACACGCGGCCCCCCTGGTGCAGGGTCAGTGCAGGGGTGACCCCGGTGATCCTGGTTGTCCCGATTGTCCCCAAACCCGGACAGGAACGAGGCCTCCAGGTCCCCTCAAGGCCGGTGCGGGGCCAGCCAAGGATTGATCCCGGTGATCCCGGCTATCCCCACACCGGGACACGGTCGGGACTCCCCTCGTTCCCCTCAGTCCCTGTGAGGCGTCACTGAAGGGCTGATCCCGCTGATCGCGGTGATCCCGGTTATCCCGGCTGCCCTCACACCGGAACACGAGCCCCGCCGCTCCCCTCAGTGCCGGTGCGGGGTCAGTGCAGGGCTGATCCCGGCTATATCGGTTATCCCCACACCGGAACACGAGGCCCCGCCGTTCCCCTCAGTCCCAGTGAGGCGTCACTGAAGGGCTCATCCCGGCTATCCCGGTTATCCCCACACCGGGACACGGCCCCTCCCCCCCGCGTTCCCTTCAGTCCCGCCCGTGCCAGCGCGCGCGGGGCGGGCCGCCCGACCTACCTCCCGCGCCGCCACTTCCGCCTGTGCCGCGCCGGCCAATCCTCGCCGCGTCCGCCCCTCCGTCCCGCCCCGCGCCGGCAGAGCCGACCAATCCTGACGCCCCGTGGCGCCGCCAGCCAATGGCGGCCGTGCCCGCGCCCCCGCGCGCTGAGGGCGCTCGGTGCGCGCTTCCGCCCGTGGCGGCGGCCGGAAGGTGATGTGGCGGAGCGCGGCGCGATGGTAAGCGCGGGGCCCGCCCGGCCCTGCCGCGCCGGGACCGGGCCCTCCCCGCTCCCCTGCCTCTCCGCGGCCTGGCACCGTCCCCAGCGGCGCCTCCTGGCCCGGGCGGCGCCCACAGAGGTCGCTCACGCCATAAGCCGCGGGCCGCGGGAGCGGAGCCGCCTCAGGGCTTTGGTGGGAGTAGCGCGGGGCGGGTTTGCATCAGGGGTTTGGTGGCAGGAAAAAAACCCGTTTTTTGGCTGTGCGGGGCATCAGCAGCCGGTGCGAGGTCGGGCAGGGGCTGTGCGAATCTCTCACGGCTTCCTGACGTCATTTCTGCCCTGTGTGGCATCATGGTGGTGTTGGGTGACGTCATCCTCAGAGCAGTGCGCTGAGCCGCGTCATTGGCTGCTTTTCAGGGGTGTCATCAGAGGCCCAGGTCCATTTACTCGTGGAAACTGGATTATATCTAAAACTACATCTTTTATATATATACACACACACACATACATATATATATATATATATATATATATATATATATATATATATATACACACATATATGTATGTATATATATAAATTATATATATGTATGTGTATATATAAATTATATATACATATGTATATATAAAAATTATATATGTATACATATGCATTACCTTTTTCCTGTCTTTTTATAAGTTCATCCGTTCACAACGTGTAATTGTTAAGAATATAGAAGTATATGTAATATAACTTACCATAAAAATATGTAGTTTTAAGGGGTTTTTATAGTTTTGCAAATGCATAAAAGACAGGTAAGTACATCTGGAATAGAATATCTATGCCTATGTATGAGTTTATTATGTGTATTACCAATATATGTGGATATAAAGGTACTTACATATATATTTATGGCTGTATGCAAATACATAATTGAACATTTTAATAATTATGTATTATATATTATCAATGTACCTTTTAATATAAACCAAACACATAAAGAGTGTGGTTAGATATATATATGTGTGTGTGTATATATATATATATATATATATGCATATATATATATCAATAAATATACATGTATAATATATGTGTATAAATATATACATTCTTTATCTAGAGTTGGTCTAGAGGCAAATGGGTGGTTTTATTTTTTTTTCTTTTTTTGTTTCCTCCCCATATTTCCAGTCTCTGCACAGGTAACAAAAAATAAGTGTTCACATTTCTGTCACAGTTAACTGCTGAGCAGTGATATGCTTTTTCTTAGTCAAGGTTTGTATATTAAATATTTATATATAATATATAATAATATATATCTGCAGAGCAGATACATGAACTTAAAATTAAAAGGAAAATCAAAGGAATAACTGAATTAACATAAGTTTTTTCTGTACAAAGTACATGTTTGTCCATAAGTTCAGCACAGAGTTTGTTTTAAGATGGGAATTTTTAGATTTTTCTAATCACCAGGACGTGGTTTGGGTTGAAAGGAACCTTTAAAGATCACCTGGTTGCCCCTTTCCCATGAGCATGGACAGATTATCCATCATTGCAGGGTTTCCTGTGCAGTTTAATGGGACATTGCTGTATTTCCTGTGCATTTACAGAAAAGATCAATAGCGCTTGAAGTTCCTTATGGCTCAGTTCAGAAAAGGGTTCCCAGGCTCCAGATCTTGTCACCAGCAAGAAATTGCTGGGAGTTGCTCACCTGAGCATTCCTTGGCAGACCTTTCAGAGGAACCTGCTCCAGTCTGGGGCTCCAAGCAGAAAACAGAGGAGATTTTTTTCATCATGAGAGGCATAAATTATCTCAGGAGATCTAAAACCCACGTGCAGAAAGCAGGAGACCTCTAATCAGTGCCATGGAAAGGTGAATGTAGAGAATTACAGCAGCACCTCGCTCTTTCTTGTTGTATTTAAAAGGGTTTGAGGTGATATAAAAAGGCAAGAGACCTTGGTGGGACATTGGTGCTGCTGGTCAGTGTAATGATTAAATACAGCTAATTATTTAATATTATATCACTGTGTCATTTATATTTTATATGTTTTCTTAGTGATACGTAAGAAATATGTAACAGTAACTTCAAAAGAAAGGTAATGTTTAAATCTAAGAAGATTATGGCAAATGTATGAGATTCTTTCAGGATTATCTTCTCCACTTGTCCCTTTTCCTTTCTCCATGTGTCTCAAGGATCCTGAAGCAGGAAGCTCTTGTAAGGATGGTTTGCTTATGATTTAATGTTGAAAATAAGGTGAAAATAAGTTTCTTCAGCCTTACTGTGATGTTTGAATTTCTTCAAGAGAGCAGCAGCCCTCCAGGACTTTGGGTCCTCCATGATGACACCTTTGGTGTCAAGGCATTTTAGGGGGAAAAAAGGATAATTTCTGAGCTCACATTTGACTGTGAGTGAGGAAACAGCTGCTGTCTGTGTGTCATGAAATGGAAGAGATTAGAGCTACATCTCCAATTTATTCTCCTTGTCCAGAGAGTAAGAGCTCCAGTTCTGGAAAGTTAGCAGCACTCTGAATATTGTATATTCCATAATATTCTGAAGCATGATTTCCAATGGACTTTATCCCTTGGAAACTCTTCATCCCATTTTCTAGGCTTCCTTACCACATCCTTCCTGGCTGAGCAGATGAGAACTTGTAATGGGTGAATGGCCAGATGCTGCCAAACAGAAAAAAAATTATATAGAGATATAGGTATAGATATAGATAATATAGTGTGTAAGATACAGTGTGTAACCTGACTTCTACCTGTCTTTTTTTTATGTGAAAGCAGAAATTGTGGGATATTTTTTTTTTCCTCTTCACTGCCAGTGGATAGGGAAAAAAACTCAGCATTTTGACTTAGAGCAGAACCCTCACTATTTTAAATTTAATCAGCTGTGGAAGCCAGTAGAAGCTTCTCAGTGGATTCCAAACTTGCTGGGGATGGAAGGGATGCACCAGGGATGCACAGCTCTCTCATTTATTTAGGAGCAGAATGTGTATTGTTTGCTGGCTTCCAGGAGTCAGTTTGTCCTGCCAGATTTCGGGATTTTTACATCTGACAGCTTGACAGAAGTTTTCCTGGGGGGCTTGAAAAGTTTGCCACGTGCATGGATGGAAGGAGGGAAGAAGCCAAAGGTGATGTTAAAGTTAATGAGGAACTTCTCAGCTCCTGAAGGGTGGTCTTCACTTTCCTTCATAGCAGAAATGTGAAGTTACGCTCAGAATTTGGTGATGGAGATTATTTAAAAGAAGTGCAGAAAACTTGACAAAAACGCCTTCTTCCCTGCCACCCTCTGGTTGGGGCTGATCCTGGCTCCCCCACATCACCGCACAAAAATTGATTTGGGAACTTTCCACGAGGACAAACATTTCTGTCATAGTCTTTGTTGCTCTCTTAGTGTGGTGTTTATAGAAGGAAGGGGAGTTGCTCATAGAGCCAATTGTAAAAACATTCATTAGTAAATATTATTTCAAACCAAGCTGTTGGATATAAACACACCAGAACCCAAGACACTGCTCTGAAAAAGAAGCTTTCAGGAGTCTTCAAGTACAAATTTTTGTGTTTGTCTTATTCAAAATTACAAGAATGAATCCATCCTCATTCAGATTTGCTAGCAGCTTTGTTTTTATCATGACCTAAAGGTGCATAGGTTTAAAAACATCTTCTAGGTCATATTACAGTCTTAAAGTGTCATTGTATTGTGACTTTATTTCACCTAAAGTGTTTAGTGTAGATACTTCTGTCATCTTAGAGAAGTGAAAATACATTGTAAGTGTTTTATTTCTGTGATTATTGAACTGAGGAAATTGTTCTGTCAAGGTAAGATGGTCTCTTTTTGCAAGAGTAGGATGCAGGGAGTCTGCTTTAACAGATTTACCCAAAACGACGCTGGGTATGAGAAACCATTTCTTAGCTGAGTGCCATAAAGAAGTGAATGCCACAATTCAATTTTTTGGTTAGACACCACACACATTCATTGTAATAGCTGCAGCACTGAATATGTTTTCCTGCCAAAGTACAGAGCCAGGCGTTCAAACTCAACAAAAGTTTTTGATTTTCAACCGAGGGACTGTGGAAACAAGGTGGAACAGCTGTGAAAAATATTACCTGTCTTCCAGATGCTAAATATTCAAACCATGCACCTGAACCTGTGCCAAACAAGAGACTTGCAGAGGTGCTGTGGACCTGACCAGGGCCAAGGGACAGATGAACAATTGACATTAAGACAGATGAACAATTGACATTGTTTCTTAACTAAATATATTTTTTCCTGGTATTTGTTCTTCATGTTTCAAAGAGATGGTTTGACTATGAATGAACAAAAAAAAATTTGGTAAATAGTATACATACAATATTTATAGTTCTGTTTTGTAGTTTTTAGGTAAATTAGAGTATATCTTCTTTTTTGAGAAGTTAGACTTGTTCCCATGGCCATGTTCACATTCCTGTAGCACTTCTGTTCCAAACTCCTGATTTTTGCATGCTGCTTTTATTACAGTAAGGATGTCACCTGATTCAAAGTGTGCTTTACTATGACTCTTACATCTTCCATTCACACACAGAAGTTTTACTGGTTTTTTCAGTTTCAGTACTGAATTTATGGTGAACTGAACAGTGTGATGTGCAACTTCAGATGGGAGAGTTACTTTAAAAAAAGGGGTTATTTAAAATACTGCTTTTACCTGATGGGGGAAGACAGAAGAGGAAGAATATCTCTGTAAAATTTTAAACTGTATAATGTACAGAGAAGATCTGAGGGGAAAGGTATTATGAGATTTTACTGAAATATCCACCATAGTTCTTTGATTGTTTAGTAAATATGTGGACACGCACACCTTTGTGCTACAGTGACCCCAGTAAAAAGACTTCAGTAGTCACTTTGTTTTTCATAGTAAGATATTTTGGTGAAATGCTGCATCAGCCAGCTGCTTTTGCAGCAAAAGTTCAGTTTTCAAAGTAGATATTGGGGTGAAGAGGGAGGAATTCAAGCAAGTGTGAAATTTCAGCATCATTGCCTGGAGGTGTCTTCTCACTG